CCTGCAGGCGGGGGCTGGACTGGCCCAGGCGCCAGGAGAGCGGGGCCGGGCGGCTGGCCAGGCTGAGGATGCTGCGGCCGCTGATCTCCGTCGTCACGCTGCTGTCGAACGTCGTCTCCAGCGTGCTTAGGAAAAGAAAGGAGGTTGATTCTTGGGGATGAGGTTTAATGGTCGTGAGGGAGTTGGGTGATGGTTGGAATCGATCATCTTAGAGGTTTTTTCCAACCTTAATGATTCTAGGATTAAGTTTAGTCTGCTACACAAGCGCTGTGAGGTATCAGGTGATTTCAAGACCCTACACCCTGAATGCTCATCAACGTACAAACAGAATTTACCTGCTGCAACGACTTGGGAGAGTCAGGTCGTTCCTCCAACACTGTCCTTAAATCACGTTATACTCTTGCACCCAGGCAACCAACTGTTCAATAGATCATAGACTGGCTTAGTTTGGAAGGGAACCTAAAGATGATCTAACCCAACCTCCCTGCATGGGCATAGATGTCTCTCAACTAGCCTAGTTTGCTCAAGGCCTCACCCAACCTGGCCTTAAACACCTCCAGGGAAGGGGCATCCACAACCTCTCTGGGCAATCCAGTCCAGAGTCTCGCCACCCTCATACTGAAGAACTTCTTCCTAATATCTAGTCTGAAAGACTCTGTATGAGAAGACTTAAGCAGTAGCTTTTTAATGGATTATTCACAGTATCCAAGCTTTATCATCTTCAGTCACATATAACTGTTATACCATGGTTTTGCCACTGTAGCAAGTGAGTGGGATATTAAACTGACTAAAGGAAAACCAACTGAAGTACTATTTTTCTGATTAATTTTCTTTTTTTGGCTGCATTCATAAAAATTCTAATACTCAGGAGATATGTCCAGCACCAAGATGATGGCTATTTCTACACCAAGGAAAAGATGAAATTAAAAAAGGTAAAACCAATTTATTTTCCCAAACGTATTTTATATATTCATTAATTGAATGTGGTTTTAAAAAATATTGACAATTTTTATACAGAGCTCTGGCTACAAAAGCATTTCAGGTCACAGCCTGCAAATACTGTTTTTGACAAGTGTCAGCTCTATGAAATCTTCCATTGTCTGCATCTGAGTATGTGAATATTCTGCAACCCTTCCAACATCTATGCTAGCAGGGTCTGTTAAGATAAGCAGCACTGTACTATTTGCAATATAATGTTACATACATGCTGCAAAAACCTATGTATCCTCTCATTATAGTAATTAAATCATAATAGGCTGTCACATTAATTGAAATTTGAAAAGAAAATTAGCACTGGGAGTTCATCCCTGCAAGCTCTGCCTTGGTTTTAGATATAAAGCCAAAACACAGCGTTCCCCCAATGAACTCATTTGGGGCTGGAGTCCGTAATGCACTGAGCTTCAAATAGGACCCCGACCTCATGAGGGGCCAAACAGCTCATTCTGCACAGCCTCCTCTTCAACACTGAGAAGATCTGAGTCACAGAATGTTTAAATGTATTAACAGTCTTTGTTTACTTAGAGCATATTTGAAATATTGCTGAAGATTTCCAAACGCTGCTTTACAAAGAAAAAGCAGTTATAGACATGGATGACTAATAATATTAGAAAAATTTGTTTGTCCAAAGATTGGTCAGGAATTCAAGTTATGCAGTTGATGAAGTGGGTCAAGCATAGTTCACCTGCTTATTTAAACTAAATATTACACATGGTGGAGAGGGGTGTAATACACTGAAGTTGTTCAAGAGATGAAGAAACGTTTTAAACCGTAACCTGTATTCAAAAATCACCTAACACATTGAACAAGAACTGATGATTCTCCACCTTTGACTCTATATACAAGCTGCCATCATCAATTACTCATTTATCTATATATAGATTTACAGACAATAGATATCAAACAGAATTCAAAATCTGTGCTTTAAAGACAAAAAATCAGTATTTTCCACTGTCAGCGTTAATAATTTTCCACAGATGCAACCCAGCTAGATCTAAGTGGTGTAGAATTAGAGCCCAACGATCTCCTTGTTGTTGCAAGCCAGGCCATGCCATTACCTGTGAGTGACCTGGGTTCCCCGTAGGCTGGACATGGTTTCCTCCAGGTTCTGCCGAAGGTCAGCGATGTTCTTCACAGTGCGTAACCGCCGAGTCTCTGGATCCTCTCCTGCAGCGGAGACCAACCACGAGACAGGACAGGGCTGGAAACAGCACTCAACCAAGGCATGAACTCTGCCTGAATCTGGCTCAAACACATTTTTTCCTGACTTTCTGTTATTTCACACTCTGAACTGATGCTGATGGAGATAGCCCTCCCCTACGGCAGGCACCTGCCGCTGCCACAGCCAGGCTGGGAGTGAGCTCTGCTCCTCACTTCATCTCCCAGGCTGTGTCTGTATTGTCGTTTCCCCACATGACCCAATTTAAATTCTGGTTAACTTTCAATCTCATTACAAGATACACTCCATCGATACCACCCCTTCCATCTCACATATTGACACAATTAACAGCAACCCGACACAGCCCATTTCTCCAGTGCTGAATTTTCACTAGATCTTCTCCCCCCCTTGTAAATAGATCTCGTTCTACAACAGCAGCTTTCCAATCAACTAAATTGTGCTGACTGGCTGCTCCACGCTGAGCCATGTTTTAGGTAAAATAGCAGAAGTTTTGTCTTGTCAACATCACAACAGAGTTATTGTTACCTAAATGTGCTACATGACACGGAACTGGTGGATGATAGTTTCCCTGACATTTAGAAATCCTGTTAAGTACTCTGTTCTAAAATACATTTATGTCCTGTTCTTTAAAAACAGAGTTCAGGCACAGTAAAACACCACCCTCATGCCACAGCATGATTTTTATAAAATTAATTTTTTAATTAGTGCCTCAGCATAGTTTATTTAGTTGCTCTCAGCTGGCAATTAAGAACTGCTTTGGTTGCCAACTCAGCTGAGCTTTATATAGTTAAACCTTCTAAGAGGTTGAAGAGAAGAGAATTTCTAGGAGTCCCAACATATTCTTTGCAATCCAAATGCTGGAACAGAAAACCTCCAAAAAGCTGTCACAAAATTTCTGTTGGTCACAGAAGGAAATGATTTCACTCTAAAGGGTTTACAACTCATGACTAAAGAAAATACTAATTTAAATTTAAAACTTCTCAAATTTTGTATCTGCCTTCTCTTCCCAAGTGATGTATTCTTAAGCTGCCAGGATACTGATCATCCATGAGATTGCTACTTTAGATGGCTATTTATATATTACACAAATCAGAAGGTTTAAGGACCAGATAAATAAGCTGTTGTTGGAACTTTCCACATTCTTTGCCTCAAAGTCCATGTTCTTGAAAAAATGTCAGGCTGGTGCTACAGAAGAACAAGTCCCATGCTCTTGCCTGCAAAGCAGCAGTAGCACAAATGACTCAAACAGCTCCTGCCCCAAATACAGGGAAACTACCTGGGGAGGGGAAGCTAGACTTGAAGGTTTATATCATCATTAGCCTGAGACAAACTAATGGCTCAGGTAGTGTCCGTGTCAGTAATTGTTTTTTTTTTAAAATGGATCTGTACTCCCTGGGAAATCATCTCCCAGAGATACAATTCACTTAGGCCAAATGGTCTAACACTTATGGTCTGGCTGGACTTGAAATAGCCACCTAACAAGACCAATCCTTCACCCAATGGGTCTCTGGGACAGAAAATATTTTCTACACTCCTGAATCTACAAATTTTTGCAGTAAAACCCATAAAATATTTATAGGCCTTTAGCCTAACGAAGGTCACAGTGCTCTTTTACAGGTCAGTTCTCTCACAGATATGAGAGCAAATGGTAGATGAGTTCTTAAGAGAACATCCACGAGACAAGCTAAACCAATTTCTATTGAGATCACTCTTATGCCTCAACTGATATCAAATTTTTACTTAAATGACATTCGACTGCTTAAATTGTAAGCACACTTAAAAGATGGTTAGTGCCACTAGAATTTAATTATTAAATCACTTAGGTCTTCATGAACAGGCTGTATCATTAAACTATTCAGCTTCCAGTTTTCCCAATCTATGCTCTCTTTTGTTTTGTATGTACTTTAAAATTGAAAGCATCAATAGCTGTAAGGAGAGAAGAAATCTGTCCCTTATTTCTTCTGATTTATTAGGGTTCAGAAACTTTTGTTTTCTTTGCTCCTTTTCCCTTAAGAACCCCTTATGGACTGCTGCTGGCTGTGGGGTTTGGCTGCACACAGCTGGGCTTTGCATCTCCATTGTTTGAGGTTGTCAGTTTGGATCCCCAAACTTTCATGTTCTACTTGAACAATAATCACTATTTACATAACATCTATCACTGAAGACTAAAGACCTTTTATTATCTACAAACACTTCTCAGTTTACAGGCTGAAATACATCTAGGCTAGGCAATATGATGGTTAAGAGACAATACTGAAAAACTTCAAGCAGCTGGACACTGCGTTTGTTACTTGGAACTGGCTCTATTTAAATATGAACCCAAAAATGTTCTCAAGGATTTTATCCTTTGTGCCATTTATTTGCCTTTTAATGATTTGATCCACCCTTATATAAATCATACAGGCAGACAGACACTTCTGTGAATTCCTGCAGCCCTTTCCTTCACTCTGCCCCTTGCCTTGGCCATCAGCATACGTGCAGACAGGTGTAAATGCAGCACTGACAGAAGGTGTAATGCAGTATGAAATGTAGCCAGTTGTGAAACTTTTAGCCACATGCTTTTTCCAAGCAGGACAATCAGTTTCCAAAACTCACATTAAACTGGAGGACATCAAGCCTAAGTAGATGGAAATAAATGAGATATTCTACTGGTGAGATATTCTGCAAGAGTGTGCAGTAAGCAAAGTCATACACATTGCTGGAACTGCAATAGGAAGAGATTGGCCTGTGACTTTAAAAACACATTTTACATCTTTAGTAGAATATGGTTGTTAAAAATAGCTTTTTTTATATTGAGAAGTTTTAAAATCATTGCTTATTATTCTTACATTAGCAGGAATTCTAGGTAAATTCATCAAGTACTTGCTAATTTAGACTGCTAGTATTCTAATTACAATCAGTTTCAGCTTCTCTCTGCTGGACACAGTAAACTATAGTTGGAATTTGGTCTCCTACTGCTGCAAAAACCACTTCTCAGATTGATCATATTCACGTGAGTGAATACAGATTCCTCCAAACCTATAAACAAACCAATACATCAAGGAAATTAATTTAATCTCTTCTGTAAGCTCTGAAGCAAGGTTTTAAGAAGTAAAAAATACCAAACGTTTGGGAATACTTAGGATCCTTGTAACAACTTAATCCTAAAAGGTTCTACACTTCTCCTAGAAAAATCTTAAGTACCCAGAATTCCTAATGACTTCAAGAAATTTGGGGGCACACCATTACACAGAACTTTAGCATCTAGTGCTCATATTATTGAAACTTGGTCTCCATTGCTGAAGAGCTAAAAGAAATATCATACCTAATAAGAACCAAGAAATGAGGAATAAAACCAAATTAAATCCATGCCACCCCTAAAGAGGGAGCTCCTGACTTCAAACTTGCTTTAGCCCATTCTTATTTAACCAGACCATGGTCAGCAGGTCAAGCTGCCAGACATACCTGCGAAGTCTTCCAGAGCAGGCTGTGCAGTTTTGACATAAAGAGCAGAATCCATGCTGACCCCTCCTGTGCTGGCCTCGGCTGTTACGTTCCCTTCATTGTCTGTCTGTGACCTGCAGGGCAAAACAAAAGAGAGCTGGGCAGCCACTCTCCATCAGAAGTGTCTCAAGTACAGCAGCCAGCCAACTGCACCCATCAGCCACTCTGTCCTTCTTGCCAGAACAGACCAGCAGACTGATTTTACATAATTCATTAGTCCCATGTTGATTTATGTCCTAGAAATGGAAACAAGCACTCAGCTGTGAATAATAAAATATTCATAGTCAAAGATAGGCTTCACAGCTCTTCAGGCAGGGTCTTAAGACACTTGGATTCCCAGCTAAATTTTAATTATCAATAACATCAGTTGTTGTGGCTAATCTGATCCTCTCTAATGAAGTCTGTAGTGCATGAGTGCACAGCAGGTAGTGCATGACCTCATGTTAGACTCCTGCTAGTATCCCTTCATTAACTAGCAAATGTCATTTGTATTTTAAAATAAACGACTGGGTAAAACCAACTTCAAATTCCCATTTATTGTCTGATGTTGTGGCTGTCGGGTAATGAAAGCTGATGCTGTAAGAATTTCTTGTCAGAACTGAGTAAGATGTCTTGACTCATTTCATACTCCTGGTTGCACTGTCTTTTGCTCACATCAACCAGCAGCTGGAAGTTCTCCTGTCCAAAAGGTATACAGAAGTGAAGACACAACAGGGCATCACTGTTGGAATTACTACTGATATATTCTTAACTTCAGTTGACCCCATATAAAATCTGAGAAATTGTTTTACGTCTTTCACTTTAAAAAAACTAACCCTAAACAAAAAACGGGTCTACATGCAGCTGAAAAGTTTAAAGTAACCTTAACTGATAGCAGAAAAGACCTGTGACTACTACTGCAATGCATTCACAGCTGCATTTTGCAGATTTAAAAAGTGTCTGGATAACAGATTTATAATAATGCTTACACGTTTGCCTTGCCAATCAATACAATTTGACTTTTCAAGTCCAAGTGAAGCCAGCAGGATTACACAGTTTGCCTCCTTTTTCCTCCAATGCTGCAAAGTAAACCTTGTTTTTCCAGTTTTCAGCATTTTCTCCAGCTGCCAACAGGTAGTTTCATCACTCTACCAGTATGTTTAGATTAAAGAAAGCATGTGGATTGCACCTGTTTTTACACTTTAGATGATGATACCTATGTTCAAACTAAGATGAACACCAAGACTGCTTTTTATCCTTATCTTTTGACAGGACACTGCAGTGATAAACTTATCAACCCAAAGCATCATGAATATATTACTGGAGGTTATGAGGGGAAAACAGAGCAATTGGTTTGCAACCATAATTTTCCATTTAATTATGGATTGAAATAGTGCAAACTGCACTGGCAATTTTTAACTCAAACCAAATATCCTAGCAGCAACCCACCTTCAGCCAAAGAGGTGACAATAATGCTGAGGTATGCAGATGAATGCAAGAGCAGGGGAAATAAAAAATAAGTACTATTAATACAAGCCCTAGTCAGCTGAAATTTTCCCCACTGTTTTTTTTCATGTGACCACATCAGAGGAGGACACCTGGCACTTTATTCAATACACACAGTGAGAACACTGAAGGGGTCAGAAGACTCAAGGGTTGCTCTCCCCATTTTGCATTCCTACATAGGCCTGCCTTTGGCATCCCCCTGCTTCAAGTTCATTCCATTCACATTCACTTTTGTTTAAAAAATGTGGCCAAACATCTCTTATGCTACATCTGTCAAGACATCAAAGGCAAAAATGTGTATAATAGAACTGAAAAAATGATAGGAAGGGTGACAAAGATGACCAAAGGTTATCAACAGCTTATCTACAAGTGCAAACTAAACAGGCTAGGACCTCTTAGCCTAGAAAAGACACATGGGAGGGAAGGATATAATAGAGTTCTCTCAAATCATGGGCAGTAAGAAGATGAAGATGACAGAACAACAGCTTGCATTCTCTATACATGAAAAAAAATGTCCATGAAAACTAGGAGATGGCTGCTGAAACCAAAAATCCCACCATCTGAGGAATTTCTTGCACCACAGTCAGGCTGGGGAGTGTCCCCTTAGGAAGCTCTGTTATTCATTTCCCTCTTGTTACTCTTCCCTATATAACCTCTACTGCCATTGTCAAACAAGATGCTGGACTAGATATGGAGGTTTGCTGTGACTCTGTATGGCTGCTCTTTGGTTTATCTCACTGAGAGTTAAGGCACAGAACACCAGACTTTGTGCCTGGCCTTACCTATACTAAGAGATTTTCCTTTTATTTTTAAAGATTTCCCATTACTGCTTATAGTGAGGCAGCTCCACCACTGTCAGCCACACTGAAGGAGGGCATCTATGCCATCAGTGGGCATCACTATAGCTTTTAAAGCTAGGATGCATAAAACAAACCTAACCCATACAGTGCAAAACCAGGTAAGGGCAGCAACTAGTCAAGAAGGTGTTAAGTCTTCTCATCTCAACTGTTAGTAGGGCCAGACCCAACAATTATTTATCCTCCTATCTATCACAACTTCTTTGACATCCTAGTTTGATGGCTTGCACCAACAGTTTTTGCATAACTGTACAAACTCTTTACTCTCTTAGATCAAGGAACTTTCACACCACGTGGCATTTGTCCTGCTGCCTCAGCCCCCTGAAAACACGTCCAGAATGAATCCTCTCGTTTAAGCACCACGTCCAAAGAGCCCACTGGCGACGGTCACCGTACCTGTACATGAAGGGAGCGACGGTGGCAGTGTTGGGGTGGCTGTATTGCTGCTGGGGCTGAGGTAGCTGCACACTCACAGTATTGCTCCCTGTGGTGTGGGTTGTGGCGGCGGGTCCGTTGATGGCTTGGCTGCTGCTGCTGCTGTTGAGGCCTCCTACACCTTTGCCTTCTGAAGAGGCTAGGCTGGACGAGGAGCTGGAATGCCTGCTGTCCAGCTGGGACTTCTGAGCGAGCCCCGAGCCGGCTTTCCCGCTGCGGCTTCTCTCACCTTCCTTTGCAGGAGCGGGGGCACTTGAGGATTTCCCTGTGGTGGTTTTCATTCCTGGTTTTGGTATCCCGCTGTGCGAAGGGGCAGAGGCCTCCTTCTTGGCACTGTTCAGCTTTCCTCCTTTAGGGATAAAGCTTGCGATCTTGGAAGATTTTTTTGGCATCTCTGTTGTTGTTAGTGCTGTCTGCTCTTCTTTCGGTTCCTCTTTCAGGTCCAGCTTTTCTGTGATAGATGTTCTCTTTGCCATGTCTTTACATTTATCCTTCTCTTTCTGTTTCTCTTTCTCATTACCCTTTGGAGAGCTCTTCTTATTAGTTAGCGCCCGGCTAAAAGTCCTTTGTGCAATTCCCTTGAGTGCAATTTTGGGGCTACTGGACATGGATCCCGGATTGTTCACATTCTGATTCGTGGCATCGATTTCTTCGCTCTCCTCGAAGCTGAGAAGGGTCTCCAGCTTTTCACAGCTGTTCTCCCGAGATGCCGGGCACTCGAGTGCTGTCCCTCCTGCTTTGGAACCTCCTTTGCTATTGAAGAGTTTTAGTTTCTCAAGCATGGATTTTTGACCGTTGGGAGTCGTTTTGGCCATTTCTGAGGGTGGTTTTGGAGGCTCTGCTACGGGCTGCTTGACGGATAACATGGAAGACGTAGCCGTGTGCTTGGCACTGAGGGACTTGCTGCGCCAGGGTTTGATAGCAGAGCTGGGCTGAGGGATGGCTGAGGAGTTCGTGCAACTAACAGTACTGCTGCAGCTCTGAACTGAGGATGAGACATTGTCATTCATTCCTGTGGGCTGGGAGGCTGTACTCTCTGCAGGCTCTGGAAAACAACCAAAAAACAACCCAAAAAAACCAACACAGTAGTACCTGGTATTATAGCTAGTCTGAGATTCTTTCTCTCATGAAACATTAGGAACTTTACACTAGTAACATTTAAAAGACACATATTAGTATCACTTAAAATAAAAGTCAGTTTTCTTTTCAAACCCAGCAAAACAGCCACGAGCTCTTACTATGTAATTTGCATTTACTTGCTGTTTCAAGAAAAGGGAAAAAAAAAGCCATCTCCTCCAATTCAACCCAAAATGTGTTTTGCCATGTGTTCTCCCTTATTAAGTTCATAATACTTTTTCATCAGTAAAAACACAGCATTATTTTCTAACTAAGGGTTCCCTGCTTTTGGCAAAATTCTTGCTGTCCAAGTTCGATTCTTAGAAAAACCTCAAACATATAAAAAAAATGCAGGAGTAAGGAAAAAATTTAAACTGAAGTCCTTGCAGTTATTGAGGGGTGGATGAGACCTTCATATGCAAAAGGTAGAAGGAAACTCTACGTACAAAAATAAAACCCTGTCCTTATGCAATGAACCTAAATCAAGTATTAGCACATATCTTAATCTAGCTCTAAGAGAAACTAGTAGCAGTAACTTCACAGCCCCACCCCCTGCCCCAAGAAAGCAACATATTTATTTAGTTCCTTTTCACGTTATTTGTTCTTGTTAAGAAATTAGTTTGGAGCTTAAAGAAAGCTTGAAAAATCACACTCACCTACCAGTGGCCACTTCTCCTCTGAAGTTTCTCTTTGCAGAGTTTCCTTTCTGGAGACGTTACTCTCTCAATTATCACAAATATGTTTTCTGTTAAACTGCTCATGTTTCCAATTAACTTTTGTCATCTCTGTCTGTTCGCCTGCCCAGCAGCCTGCTGGGGATTAACGGCTCTTACCTATATTTCCCTGCCCTCTAGCAATAAAGTAAACTGTGTATAGAGCTGCATTTTTTTAATTCAAAAATCAACAGCAGTTGCGAGCGTGCGTTTTGGGCAGAGGGAGCAGCCCTCTGGATTCAGCCCTGTAAATCATGAGCCGCTGCAACCACACAGGGACTGTTTTACTTCACTTTCAGCTGCTCAGTGAAGATACGGCTCTGTTAACCTCCCTCCTCTGATCCAAACCAGATCTACTGAAGACTTAAAGCACATACATCTTCCTGACTTAGTGTAGAATCAGGTTTCTAAAAGTATTAGAGGCTCCTTAATGATCAACTCGGTCATTTCACATGGTTATGGACAAAGTGGAACAGCAGGAACTTATGAT